ACTTTTGTATCATCATGCTATATTTTCAATTTAAAACCATTTCAATCCTTATGTCACAAGTCATTTGAGATGGGTTTTTCCCAGAGGCAAGAGTTCCTCCAGCTTGGAGTCAGGGAGAAAAGAGATGACATCTAGAAATCCTTCCATATCCAAGAAGCTGGCCAGGTGTAGGAGAAAACTGGTCAGAATTCAACTGGCCACCCAACAAGAAAGATCTCTCTCTCTCTCCTTCTCTCTCTCTCTCCCCCCCTCATTCATGAGGGCTTACTACATGCTAAAGCGCTTTACATACATTATCACATTTAATTCCACAACCTTGTGAGGTAGGTAGTATTATCACCCATGTTTCACAGATGGGGAAGTGAAATAACCACCCAAGGTCACACATCTAATAAATCCTGTAGCCAAGCTTGAACCAAGGACTCCTGACTCCAAGCCCATGCCCTTAGGATAAGAGCTAAACTCCTTCACCTTGGCCTACCAGCCTTATGTCATCAGGCCCATGCCTCCTTCCCCAGCCTCCCTTTCTGTGCCTCTTCCCCTTATTTCCCATGGTCCAGAGACATCAGCCCAGATCTGAAGGGGTGGCACTCGTAAGCGTTGGCTGCAGAACCAAGAGCTTTCCAATCTCTCTTGCTTCAGTGTCTTGGCACTTGCCTCTGCTTGGGAAGACCTTCTCCTTGCTCTTATCATGGCTGGATCCTTGACACCCTTCAGGTTTCTGCTTACATAACCTCGGGGTGGCTGGCCTTCCTGACCACTCCATGTAAAGTATTCTCCTCCTCCTCAAAGTTACTCTCTATCATATCACCGTTAATTTTCTTCATAGCACTTTATCACACTTGGTAAATCTTTTATTTATTTACTTATGTATTGCCTGTCTCTTCTCCCAGGAATACAAACTCTATGAGGACAGAGACCTACTTGTTTTTGTACCTCTGTGTTTCCAACACCTGGAACCGGGTTCAACACAGCAGGTTGTACAAATACTAAATGTCCCTAACCATGTTATCTGGGACAGGGAACCCAGTGGATTATTTCTTGCATGAAGATGACAGGTTCAAAATATTTTATACATAGCACATAAGTCTACTGTTTACCCACATTTTATTCCAATTTAAGCCACTTTGAGGACATCTGTGCATTCATTTTCCCAGTTCTTCACATGTCTGGCCTCTTATCCTTC